AACGGTAGATTAAACAAACACTTAGAGTTAATATTATATTTCCATTAAGTATAAAATAAGATTTTGTGGTATCCACTAGTGTAAATATTTTAAATTGAAGATCAAATTTGTTCATTGCATTCTTATAGGTTCGAGGAGTGTAGCTGTGACATCCCGTCCCGGAATTATCGAAACGTACATGTGAAATGACCATTTTGCCCCTAGTTAGTTGGTTGTGTTTTTGGTTATTTGTATGCCTTGTTGGCATGCTTGGGGGTCACACACATACCCTCATTGTCCCTATCCCTTTCTCAGTCTCTTTCCCTATCCCTCTCTCTCTCTCCCGAGTCTCTATCCTTCCTCTTCCTTTTGAAAGTGTACGGACACACACACAACTACACTAAAACATCACAGATTGAAGGATCCAAGACCACCATCGTGCTTGTGAGGCTGAGAGGAGTCCAGTGGTGCCATTTTCAGGTAAGAACTTCGACGTTTTCACGTCGATATCGCCATGTCCATTTTAGCTACTGTTCATGCAAGATTAATTTAGTGAGTTTTTGGACATTTGAAGCTTATAGTTGTGTTTGTGAGGTTCCCAGGAGCTTGGGAGTGCTTCGTTAGACAATTTTGGACGTCGGGAAAGCTTGGTTCGAAGTTGGCCGAGTTTTGGAGATTTGGACAGGTATAATCTCGTAGTTTTAGGCCTTAAAACTTGTAGGATCGTGTTCTACTAGTTCTAAGGTTGATTTTGGTGCAAGAAACGTGAAAAAAGGTGGAAAAATGAGCGAGAAATCACGACTTACAGGTTTTCCGGCGACGGCGCCGGCGATGGGAACTGACCGGAGAAGAAACAGGAATATTCCGTTTAGGTTTAACGGAATATTCCTAACAGCAGTGACGGCGTCAGTTTAGGGTTAACGGAATATTCCGTTGGTTTAATGGAATATTCCTGACGGCGTCACTTGACGCCGTCAGTGTGCCTGGCACGTGGCCGCGCGTGGGGGCGCGTGGGTCCGTGCCTGTTTTGGCGCGTGAGGGCGCGTGGGAGGTCCAAAAATTATTTTAAAAATATGGTTGTGATCCTGAGGTTGTGTAGATCACGTTGGTATATTCATTTGTCCATTTTGAGCAATGTATGAGAAGTTATTTTGAACGGACAGTTATGTGCTTTAAAGTTAACGTTTTTATAGTTAATTCGCATATAGGTGACACGTATCCCGAGGACGAGCGTGCACACTTGAGGCAGGGGGCTACGACCCTTCCACATACCAGTGAGTGGGCTTTTGTTTTCCGTATATACCTATATACATATTATTTCCCAGAATTTAGTATGAATGCTTCGTTATATGCCATTCATTTTATGTAATTATAGGTTATGCATGATTAGTGGCATATACGTTTAATTATATATTCGATTATGCATATGTCATATATATATATATATATGTTGGTGTTATGGAGGCATAGGTAAGTGCCAGGTAAGTGTTATTTAACGATTGCATTAAATAGTGGTTAGAGATGCTTAGAGAGCTCATAACCTGCACCCCCGGTGTTAGTGCTCCCGCCCAGAGTAGGGCACAGTCCTTCACGTGTTGTTCACCTCCCGCACCACACGCTCAGCTTGAATCCAAGTTAGGTGCACAGTCTTGTCGTACAGACCACTATAGGTGGTTCCGACTCGTAGGTGACCCGCGATTATTCGCTCAGTCTTCACGTGATCGTAGCACTAGAGCGTTTATATGTATCGCACCCAGGCTTGTCATACAGACCACTATAGGTGGTTCCGACTCGTGGGCAGGTTGGTTGTTGAGATTGAGATTGGAGCTCTAGGTTCAGCCGTACAGGTCACTTTAGGTGACTCCGGCTGCCAGTGATAAGTTATTGACACGTTTTATACCTGAGCACTTGCATATTATTATGAGGTTTTGAGCATGACGGCATACCTTTGAGCATGACGGCATACCTTTGAGCATGATGGCATATCCTTGAGATTATTTGGCATATTTATACCTACGTGTATATGTTATTTCTGGGATGTATACAGGTTTTACGGCGAGGGGTTAGAATGTATTTTATGAAATGATTTTTAAAGAATTTGTTTTTGCCCACTCACGCTTTTGTTTTGCGCCCCTCCAGGTTCTAGTAGCTTAGCGGGTTTGGTGGTTTTCCCAGAGGACGTCCCGGCATTTCTGACAGACACCCAACTATGTAGGGTCACCTTCGGGTGCACTATTGTTGTATCGTTTTTTGGACTGCTGTAGGCTTTAGGCTCTGAATTCAGCGATTTGCTTACGCTAGCACATACTTTATCACATTATATTTGCTAGTTTTTAAATTATTCGTACTTTTACATTATTTCCTTTAGCTTCTGCACTGTGCACATGGCTACGTCACTTCCACGTGACGGCCAGCATGCCCTAGCCTCGGTTGGGGTGTGTCAGTAGCTGTAAAAAAATCATCAAAACCGGAGCTAAAATAACCGTTAAATTGTGATTTTTCGTTTATAACCGTCGAAAACTTTTGTTCTGTTACCTAATCTCTGAATGTTTTTTTTTTTTTGCGATTTTTTATGTATGCGATCTTGTAGTATCTACAAACAAGTTTGACGGTTAGATCATTGAAACTAGTTTCGTAGAATGTATATCTCCATTAAATTTGCCTAAATTTTGAAGTGGGAAAAGTAATTTGTGCTAAATTTTTATTTTTGTTTTTCATGTATTGATTAGACAATATTTAGTTTGTGTGATGACATTTTCGTTGTATAATTATCTTTTTATTTTTTTATCGCATATTTTACATGGGTTATTATTTATTAAACCAAATAATTATTTATTTAATTCTTAAAAACATATTCTATTTAAATATATATTATTTATTTATTTATTAAACCAAATAATTATTATTTTATTTTTTAAAATCGTAACAAATTTTTTTTTTTTGGGGGGAGGGGGGGATTTAAAATTTTGGAAGGGAATTTTGGGGGGATATTTGCCCCCTTTTTTTTTTTTTTTTATCTGTTATAACAAAGAGTAATGAAAATTTTTCAAAATAAAACCCTTTCATCTCTTCCTTTCGCCTACACAAATCCCGGCTTCCAGTGCTTGGCGTTTCGGTAGTGGTCGAAGAGTGGGGAACTACTGCGGTCCTCCTCGAAAATGGAAGGCAAGTACATGCCATCTTTACCGTCCCAGTTCCAGAAAGGCAAAGCAAAATTTGGATCGATCTCCTCAATGAGCTTGGCAAGGATTCTCTTGCAAAAGTAGAGGTACCAGCGGTGGAAGGGGTAGAAGAGTCACAAGGAGTGAACTTGTATTTCATTGCAGTGAACTTTCTCCTTGCCATTTTTATCACAGCTAACATAGTAATATGCAGTTTTGTAGTTTTTTTAAATACTTTTCACAGCTAACATAGTAATTGCAGTGAACCTTAGCTTGGTTCCAGAAGTTACGTGGGTCGTCCTCGTGGAGGTTCTTCATCCCCTCGATGGCCGTTTTGTAGCTTTTTAATTACTTTTCATCGACTTTATGTGCCTCTGGCCTGGTGCGGAGTGAATTTGGGACTTTGTCTGGTAGCTTGAATTTGATGATTTCAGTAGACGGTTGTGGACAACAATGAAGCCCAATCAAATCCCTCGTGGTCGGGACGCATAGGTCAGGAGTAGGAATCGGAAGAGCGGTGGCAAATGGGTTGATCCCAAGGCCAAGACCGGTGGCCCCGTACAGCCCTCCAGCTCCAAGACCAATCAGCATGTTTCTTCTGTCCAGTTTTCCATCGTCTTGGTTAATACCCTGTTCGTCATCGCTCTTTCTTGCTTTGCATGGAGATCTATGCTTACCTTTTTCAACTAATGAAAGTTTTCCATCGTCTTGGTTTATATATATTTTTTATTATTAATATATTTTCAGTCAATTTTATGTTCTTATTTATTCATATTAATAAATTCCCTATCGGTAATATCTGACACTAGTTCTGTCAACTTTATAGTATTTTCTGTCAGTTTTATCTGACAAAGAATGCTCTTATTTATTCAGTATTAATATATTCTCTGTCGATTATATCCTACATAATTACTGTCAGTTTTATAGTATTTTCTGTTGAAAAATTCATTTCCTGACTCTGGCAATTTGTCTCTTATTGTATCTGCCACTGCATTATTTCTTGTCGGTTATCATAGCGACACTAATAAATGGTTTTGCGAGCATTATTGTTCCTACTGTATCAAAATGAAAATGTGACGTACGAGATTAAATTTGTTAAGAAATGAAGAATTTTTGAAGTGCAATAGATTAAGTAAAAGGAAAACTAATGAAAATGGCTTGAAAACTTTGAGTTTTAACGATAAGGACAAAAAAAAAAAAGATAAAGTGAATAGTACCAGGTTTGACTTTTTAGTTTAAAAATGTGTTTTTCGTTAAAACGAACAGTATTGCAGACTTTTCATTAAAATTCCCTTAAATAAATGAGCACCCCTTTCTCGGTAAACTCATTTTAGCACAAATATTATATCACACCCTCTTAGTAAACACATTTTGGTAAATACGTTAATGGTGAAGCTTTCAACTTTCTCAACTTTAGCAACATATTTATTCATATGAGGTATTAAATACGAAAGTTTCTAAATTTAGTATTTATTGGGTATGATAAATTCAACTTACAAGTTGCCATAAATTGTTTAAACCTCAAAAATCCCCTAACTTTTTATTATTTCGTGCTAATATTACTTCTTTGCAAATTAATTAATTGACTAATTTATTACAATAGAGCTGCAAAAACCATGAACTGAACTTGTATGTCATGTTCGCGATTGTCATAGACGTCCAAATATCATTGCGTGAAAAACAGATGACAAGCGGAAAAAAGATCGCGACTAGCCTTAATCGTTCTGTAGTAAATAGACAAGCGTATTTATCGAGCATTAGATTCCTATTATAACAAAATGAAAATGAAAATATCGTATTGTCTAATAATTGGAGTGTAAAGTTTTAAAGTGTTTGAGAGAGTAGATTTGTTGCTCAATCTGAAAGAACCTCAATGTGTTTGAATAATTTCTACTGTACAAGGTACATCAAACATGTACTGAGATTATAAGATATTTGGATCAACATCTATCTGGCTATATGCTGCTAATTTCTTCAACCCCTTCTGTCTCATTTCATCACGAACCTTATTAGCCTCATCCCACCGTTCGTGAGTAGCGTATGCATTCGATACAAGAGCATAAGTTCCGATGCTTACTCCTCTACTCTTGAGGAGATCATTTCTGATCCTCTCAAACATCTTCTCATTCCCATGAATTTTGCATGCATTAAGAAACGCTCCCCAAACAGCGCCGTCTGCTTCTGTTGGCATTTCCTTAATGAAACTCTCTGCTTCCTCCAAGAACCCCGCTCGACCATACATATCAACTAGGCAGACGTAATGCTGTGTTTGAGGGGCGATCTGATAAACATTTTTCATAGCATTGAAAAACATTGACCCTTGATCGACTAGACCTGCGTGACTGCATGCTGATAACACGCCAAGGAAGGTTACATCATCAGGAGGAATCCCATGGACTAGCATGAGCGAAAAGAGCTGCAACGCATGTATACCATAACCATTCATGGCCATGCCGCTTATGATGGTACTCCACGAAACGTTATCCTTGCAAACCAGGGTTTTAAAAACTGAAACTGCCATACCTACTTCACCACACTTTACATACATGTTTATTAATGCATTTCCCACAATGCCATTCAACATGAGATCTGGCCGCGCACTTATATACGAATTCACCCACTGGCCTAAACTCAATGCTCCAATCGAAGAACACGCTGACAATACATTTACAATGGTAGCCTCATTAGGCTCAACTTCCTCTCCCTGAACCATCTCCTGAAAAAGCCTCACTGCCTCATCACAAAATCCTCTTTGTGCATAACCACCCACCATGCTAGTCCAAGAATACACATCTCTCTTTGGCATATTTACAAACAGGTACCGTCCACTCACCAAAGACCCACATCTCATGTAAAAATCCAACACTGCATTGTCCCAAATAACATTCCTTCCAGATAACTTCCTCATACAATATCCATGAACAGATTTACCAAACTTTAAAGCTCCTAAACTCGAACAAGCGGACATAACAATGACAAGAGTAGTAGAATTAGGCTGCACATCCATGGACATAAACTTAACAATTGCTTCCTCCACAAATCCACACTTGTTAAGACCCGAAATCATCGAAGTCCACGAAACAACATCAGGGTTTGGTATGGATTCGAAAACCCGGGTAGCGGATACAATGTCAGCTTGGGTTACGTAGAAATGAAGCAACGAGTTTTGGATGAAGGTATCGGAAAAGTGCCCAGTTTTTACGACGCGGGCGTGGACTTCCCGTCCCTTGTTGTCATCATGGAGGAAGCAACATGCCTTGAGAGCGTAAGTGAAGGTGTAGTGATTGTGGGAGGTTGGGAAGTGGAGCATTTGGTTGTACAGGAAAAGGGCAGTTTGTGGGGCGGGGGAGTTTGTGAGATGTCCCAGTAGAGGGTTTAAGAGTTGGGGTTTAGGGTTTTTGATGATTTGGGCAAGGATGATTTGCTTTAATTGACGTTTCATTGTACTTTTTACGAAAATGTATAAACAGTAGGTGTCGGAATTGCTGGGCATTTATCTTTTTCTCGAGGAGAAATCGGACATCTGAAACAATTGTGGGCAGCGGTTGGGTGGGAATTTGGGTTGCGCAGAGGAAGGAAGGCGGAGGAAGGAGGGGGGTCAGGAGAGCCGGATAAGATGTATTTTGACAGTGAAAAGCTCACTAGCTACGTCCTCCATACTATGGTGTATCTTATTTAGGTGATGTTGTTCGGGCAGGAAATCTCACTGGGAGGGATCCCTGGTTCGAGCACACGGCTCCCCGAGGAGTTGGCACTTTCGTTGGTTGTCGGGCTCCTACTTGTTGAGCTGCTGCAAGAAGAGGACAAAGTTAGTTCTGAAAGGTGTCTTTGTAGGGTCTTAGGTGTAGGCCTTGAGGCTCACAATCAAAACTAACGAAGTGCTTAGGTGTGTCACTGCCATCTCAGTATGGCAGATGTAGAACAAGTGTGTTTAAGCCGATTACTTGCGCCCCAAGTTATTCTGACTTCTTGTTGTCAAAGGATTGTCATAGATGGGTTAAGTCTACATTAAGTTCTTTTCTATGCCTTGAGATCAAGGACTTTTAATTGGTTATCTTGTATGCTTAAAGGGTGGAGGTCCAGATCTGATCAAGGCAACAGTTTAATTCACATTTAGTCTTCTTACGACAGTAAAACCACTAAGTGAACTAGATCTGAGAACTAATGGAACTTTGGTTCATCAAAAGACTAGAAATGACTTAAATATATACTGAGGAATACATCATAACACCAGATCTATTAACTTAAAGACAAAACAAAGAGAGTCGGGCAAGGTTCAAACGTCTTGCGGTTTCTTCTCTTTGTAGTTATAGGGGGTTGAGTACTAAAGCAAGATGAGTGGCGAACAAGTTTACATAAGAGAATCGATACTACAACATTTAGAAAAGGTAGCAGAGCTTTTACATTTAGACAAAATATGTCTTTTTAAGGGGAGTCTATAGCTAAAATTGTACAAAATCTGGACAAAGCACAGCTTTTTGAGTATTTGCTTGACTGAGAGGCAAGTTGTATGTTTGTTTGTTTGATTGGTTAAGTGTCTTTGTCTCTGGGCCCTTTTCCCCCTTTTATAGGTGAATTAGCCTTACTGTACTGCTTTTGATTTTGCCCGAAAGCAACTGAAAGGTAGTGACTCATCAGCATTTTTACATGTTCTGTCATTCAGAAAGTGCTTTTGGGCTGAGAGTAGGTGGATTTCCATCGGTTATCACTTCTCTTGTAAGCATCTAGCCTTTGCATTAAATGGGGAGCCGTCATATTGTCTCGAGATGGGTATCTGGGCTTGACTCTAGGCCTCGGGCAAAATCTCCTTTATTGAGCTCTTTTGGGCTTTCTTTCCTTGAAGTCCAAAGTTAAATATTAACCCAAACAGTGCCCCCTTCAATCGTTGTTAAGCCTGCAACCCGAGGCAGTAATAATGATTGAACAGTTGTTTCTCAGTAACCACCGTCGCACGCCTTTACTCGGAACTCAGGCATTAACACATTTGATTTCAAGATAGGCCCCATGTCTCCAAAAATCCTGGATATGGCACAAGTCTTTGGGCTAAGACCCTCGGACAGAATCGTGGATGTGACTCATGACTGGGCACCACTTTCTCGCTCGACTGCTGAAAGTTCAGGTTCCTCTGCTCCTCTGCTCCAGCTGGAATACAAGTCTGCAACCTTTAAGAGTTATAGGACCTTTTTTAAGGGTTTCATCCATTTTGTGAAAAAGAGTTTTGGTGCAGACTCCTCTAATGCCAACTTAGATCAAGAGCACATGTACTTCCTCTTGTATTGGCTCGACAAGCACGTCTTCCTCAACAAATCTAAAGGAGTGAAGGTTGAATGGATTCCTTTAGTTGAAGCTCTCCATAATTTTGATGATGTTGCTATGGGCCATTTCTTTCTCTCTCATCTTTACCATCTTTTTTTTTAAATGACTTAGGGCGAACCATTTGAAACCAGCCTCAACGGACCAATTTGGATGGTCCAATTATGGTTACAATGGTATTTCTTAGATTTTCAGGCAGCTAACCTGAAGTTCCCAAAAGGTGTGGCTCATGCCCGAATTCTGGCCGAAGCCCTTTCCACTAACCATTCCACGTTTGCCTGTTTTTATTTCTTCAGAGTTTGCAGGACTCAGGCAAACTTAAAGTAAGGAACATCTGTTCTTATGAGGTATCCTGGTTTTCTGATCAAGCCTTCCAAGATGCCTTTGGAGAAGATACTAATCCTTTTTACATAACGAAATTTATTAGCTGTATTCAACCACGGGACTTAGCTTGGGGGTTCGTAGTGATTGTTACGAACGCGAGCTGGAGGTTTATCATCCCAACTTCTGTAGTAGACATTAGGCTTTAGGCAAGCCATCCTAATCTCATTCTTTGACTCCGCTCATTGTTGCACCTCTTACCACCTCCATTCTCCTGAAGAAGTCACTTTCCGAGTTGCCCGACGTAGCCTTGAGGTAGACCTGGCAATTTATTACACGACCCGTTAACACGACACGTAAACGACACGAAAATAATGGGTTTCGGGTCAACACGATAACTAATCGGGTCATTATCGGGTCACACGATAATAACCCGTTAATAACGGGTCCTTAACAGGTTTACACGAAAGTGACACGCGGGTAACCTGTTTCGACACGATAAGAAAAATGCTATTTTGATGATTTTAATTTTTTAAACTACTAAAAAAAACTTACTATAAAATGCAATAGATATAATGAATATGTATATATTGTTTATTAATTATTATTCTATTATTATTTTATATAAATTTTAAAATTTAAGTTTTATTTATTTATTTATTTTTATAATATATTATAGGCAAAGATTGAGATTAAAAATCATAAAACACATTAAAAATAAAAATATCAAGTAATTTAAAAATACCAAAAACATAAAAAAATTATAATAATTAATTTCCTGCCTAATATTTCAAGAGTTTCATCCATTTCCCACCTAATGTTTGGGAAATTTTGCAACCTATATCCATCCATTTCCCGCCTAATGTTTAACCCAAAGAAAAAAAGTAACCAGCTTTTTTGTTTTTTTTTTTTTTTTTTATCTCTTATAACATTTTAACTTGAATAAAAATAAAATACGTAATAAAAAAACATAAATGTAATTTTATTATTAAATATCATCACATACTAATTGAAACATAGTCTAATTAACACTTAAAATATATAAATAATTAATATATTTATTCCAAGTCATCAAAACGATAAGATTCACTAACGCTTAAAGTTTATTTATACTTTCATTAAGTATAACATCAATGCGTATCCCATCAAAATGATGAAAGTATGAATAAACTCTTAAGTGTTAGTGAATTTATCGTTTTGACGGGATAAGTTTCCTACAAAACTAATTTCAACAATCCAACCGTCAAACTTGTTTATACATGCTTCAAGATCGCATACTCCAAAAATTGCAAAAAACAAACATTCAGAGATGAAGTAATGAGACAAAACTTTTCAACGGTTGTAAACGAAAAACCACGATTTAACGGTTATTGTAACTCCGATTTTGATAACTTTTTACAGCTACACTCCTTGACCTTATATGAATACAATGAATGAATTCGATCTTCAATTTAAAATATTTACACTAGTGTATACCACAAATCTTATGTTATACTTAATGAAAGTATAAATAAACTCTTAAGTGTTAGTTAATGTATCGTTTTGATGGGATACGCATCCTATGAAACTAATTTCAATGATCCAACCGTCAAATTTGTTTATACATGATTCGAGATCACATACACCAAAAATTGCAAAAAAAAAAACATTCAGAGATCAAGTAACGGGACAAAACTTTTCGACGATTATAAACGAAAAATCACGATTTAACAGTTATTATAACTCCGATTTTGATGATATTTTACAGGTACACTCCTTGACCTTATGTAAATACAATGAATGAATTCGATCTTCAATTTAAAATATTTACACTAGTGGATACCACAAAATCTTATGTTATACTTGATGAAAGTATAAATAAACTCTTAAGTGTTAGTGAAGCTATTGTTTTGATGGGATACACATCTTAGAAACTAATTTCAACGATCCAACCGTCAAACTTGTTTATATATGCTTCAAGATCGCATACGCCAAAAATTGCAAAAAACAAACATTCAGAGATCAAGTAACGGGACAAAACTTTTCGACTGTTATAAACGAAAAATCACAATTTAACAGTTATTATAACTCCGATTTTGATGATATTTTACAGGTACACTCCTTGACCTTATGTAAATACAATGAATGAATTCGATCTTCAATTTAAAATATTTACACTAGTGGATACCACAAAATCTTATGTTATACTTGATGAAAGTATAAATAAACTCTTAAGTGTTAGTGAATCTATCGTTTTGATGTGATATGCATCCTACGAAACTAATTTCAATGATCCAACCGTCAAACTTGTTTGTATATGCTTCGAGATCGCATACGTCAAAAATTGCAAAAAACAAACATTCAGAGATCAAGTAATGAGGCAAAACTTTTCGATGGTTATAAACGAAAAATCACGATTTAACGGTTATTTTAACTCCGATTTTGATGATTTTTTACAGCTACACTCCTTGACCCTAAACAAATACAATGAATGAATTCGATCTTTAATTTAAAATATTTACACTAGTGGATACCACAAAATCTTATGTTATACTTGATGAAAGTATAAATAAACTCTTAAGTGTTAGTGAATCTATCATTTTGATGAGATACGCATCCTACGAAACTAATTTCAACGATCCAACCGTCAAACTTGTTTATATATGCTTCGAGATCGCATACGCCAAAAATTGCAAAAAAAAAAACATTCAGAGATCAAGTAATGAGACAAAACTTTTCGACGGTTATAAACGAAAAATTACGATTTAACGGTTATTTTAACTCCAATTTTGATGATTTTTTACAGCTACACTCATTGACCCTATATGAATACAATGAATGAATTCGATCTTCAATTTAAAATATTTACACTAGTGGATACCATAAAATCTTATGTTATACTTGATGAAAGCATAAATAAGTGTAGATTTTTAAAAATCTCATGAACAATGTTATTTATTTGAGTGAAAAATTAATAATAATAAGTGTGAAAAATGTAATCACACGTAATGAAAAACTTTACAACGTTCATTAAGGGGTCAACTCCGAAATTTAGTATGTATATACTAATTTAGTATTATGTTTTACATTTTTTTGGGTCAAATTATGTTTTTCTTTTCATTTTTATTGATTTAA